TTTTTCCCTGTGTTTCAGTATTGTGACCTTTGGAGGGCTACAGATGATTGTCCTATCTAAGTTTTTTCACACACACTGTGCCAAAGAACAAATTTTCACATCCTGGGGGCAATTTTGCCATTATTAAAAATACATGGTCTACTCTAAACTCATTCTTGTAAGTTATTTTTTTTGGGTCCACTTATATAGTGCTTAACGGTGCAGTCATCTGGTAAAATAGAGGTGACGGGGCCCTAGTCATGGGAGTAACTTGCCCATGATCACATAGCTAAGAGGTTTGAGCATAGTGATTTGTCTCCTCAGCATTTAGGCTGTACTGACTTTTCTGTGTCAGATGTGGTTTTTTATTGCTGTCCTTTTTTTTGTAGGGATCAAATGCAGGGCCTGTGTATGTCTGACAAGTGCTCTCCCACGGAGCTACGACCCAGCTTGCAGCTATGTTTACTGTGTGTGCTAACACCTCTGGCAGGCCTGTGGCACCAGATGACCATGTTACTGTATCTTCCTGTTGCTGTAGCTGTGTGCTGCAGTGACTTAGGGTGGTGTTGGCCTCTGTAAGACTCTCATTATAGTCTGATCTTATATTGACTTGTATACCAGCTCAACAAGTCCCATTATGAAGGACTTGAGCAGGTGCTGTGAGGGGAGACAAAAGCATACTGCCAAGTTTTCTTCCTGACCTCAAAGAGCCAAGAAGTCTAGCTAAGCAGATCAAGTCATTAGGCAACAAGTTTGTAAGAATTAAAATTCTAGGTGTCACAAGAAGGTACAAACAGAAATGTCATTGAGTCTTCTCATGAACACCCAAACTGGTGACAGAGGGTGACTGGAGGGCTAAGCTGAGTCAGTTCTCACACCCTGTCCGTTACTGGATGGGTATGTATATAAATTAGACCTCAGGAGCTGACCAGTCCACTTGAGTGAATCAGTGAACAGACCCAATGAAGGAATGGCAAGCTCACAGCACCTCACCGGCTTCCTCTGACAACCACCAGGACTCTAAAAGGCAATGTGACATTTAATTTTTCCACTCCAAGTTTGCGCAGCTCAGATATATAGCTAAACTATGTTTCATTTCCAAAATGAGCTTGTTATAGTGTGTTTTTAAAATACAAGTCTTAGGTACATTCTTCTAAGGATTATGCCGGATAATGTATTATCTCTGCCTCTGAGGAAGTCATGAAGGAGTTTTAAAATGACAGAAGTCCTGGCATCAGTCTGGAACACTGGCCCAGGTGCTGAAAGGACTATAGCCATGACTAACCAATCTCTGGCCTTCAGAAGCTTCCAGTCTACAGCAATCTAGGCCTGGCCCTGACGTCCAGTGTGTTTTGAGAAGTCTCTTTCTGGTGACATTTCCCAGCCTCTGAAGACATAGAGGTTGTAAAATGCTTTCAATCTTATTCATTATTGAGCACATTTTAGAATTTTAATTATTCTGATCCTTCATTAAAATATTATCTTTCACAAGGGAAAAGCCTAGAATCCCTGCAATTTCAAATGGCCTGGGTTATGACAAAACTTTAGAGCACATTTTCACAAAGCCTATGTTAGAAACCCAAACAGTAGCACAGGTTGTAAGGGACCTTGGCCATTGCTCCTCCCAGGACAACAATGAAAGGGAGCTCACTACTGCTCTGTGTACTCTAAAAATTGCAGATACCCTGCTGTGAAAACCCCAGCAAGCTGATCAATCTAGCTCTGTGGCTGGCGATGGGCATTTGCTCCTGCTTGGAGTCTCCACAGGAGCAAAGAACATGAAGTGGCTTTAGCAGATTGGCAGTGTCTGAGGGCAAAGGCTGCTTGGTGAGTGTGTTGGTGACTGCACATTTACTGATGCTACTAAGGGAACCCTGTCTAGCTAGTTGGTCAGGAACACTCTCATATGACCAGGACCTGGGCCCCTGGCCCCTGCTCAAGGCTAGGGTCCTTACAGTTGGTCCTGGGATTCCCTGCACATGTTAGGGTTCAGGCACTCAGATGGATTTAAGAACCTCTTTAGCAGTGCTCTTCCCAGTTCTATTCCTTTAAGCATAGGCTCACAAAAAAATCACTCTAGGACAAACTTGGACTGTAGTTTTGTTTTGTTTTGTTTTTCTTCAGGAGTGGGTACACTGATAACACAAGTAAAAAATAATGCAACAGCCAGCACAAGGGTGGTGCAGCTGCAGTCCCAGAGATGCAGTAGGCTGAGGCTTGAGGATCACTTGAGCCCTTAAGTTCAAGGCCAATGTGGACAACGTGGCCAAACTCTGTCTCAAATAAAAAGAAATAAGAAGGAGGAGGAGGAGGGAGACAGAGGAGGAGGAGAAGAAGAAGAAGGAGAAGAAGAAGGAGAAAGAGGAGGAAGAGGAGCGGAAAACAAAAGAAATACAGAAAATCAGCAATACCATTAGAACACATCTAGACCTTTTCAACAGGCAGAAGTCCATGAGGACATTCCTGATTCCTGGCACTAGTTATGTTGAGGGTCGAGCTTCTAAATCTATGACAGTGCCTGGTGAAAATAAACTGGCAAAACAAATTTCAAACTGTTGACATCATTCTGCCTATGTTTATACCACACCAGTAAAACTGGTTGGAAAAACAAAAATTGAAACAAGTTGCCTGCCAAGATGACACCAAATTACAGCTGGCCTCTTGGTTTAATTCTTTTTCATTTAAATAATATTATTTCATTGAAATAATATTATTTCAATAATAAATGCATTAACTAATTGTTCTGTTAATATGTGAATGACCCTGATATTTTAAAATTACTATAAACAAGGTTGCTTACACAAAAACAAACCACCCCAAACGTCCTATTACATCGTTCGCTTGTTTCAAACATTCCCTTTTAGACTAAAAGGGATCAAATGATTAAAAGACTTAGAAAAACTAAACGCCACTTAGATGTGTTCTGGGTGACAAAGCTGGTGTTCTGCTTAAGCAGCCAAGTGTACTATGTACATCATTTCCAGCTGCCCATTTGTGAAGAAATAAAGTTCTTGGTTTAAAACAAAAACCTGATTGACCCTTACGAAAATTCAAATCCCACAAATCATTGCATGCTACCTAAGTCTAGCAGCTGTGATAAGCAATGATCAGGAAAAAGTAAGGCTCTAAAGGTGGAGCAGAGCAAGACTGACTCCAAATACAACTCAAACCAGTAGGTGTCATTTCTGACATCTTTTTGCCCACAGAGCGGTTCTTTCATCGTCAAGACTTGCAAACAGTGGCATAGTAATTCTGGTGATGTCCATGTGTGCTAGGCAACTGGTATGTGTTATGGTTCCTATATGAATGATGGGAAGATGATAATGATAGGGACAAAAAAGAAAGGTATCAACTGCATCAGCACCATCACAACAAACCACGCATGGCTTTCTGGGGAAGAAAAGGTTGCAAAAGTGGAAGCTGTCAAATGCATTCCCATCTGGTTTAATATCAAACTGATACTAAGATGCAGCTAGTTTTCAAAGTCTAATGCCTAAGGAATTGAATTATTACATTGTCCAAAGGGGAGGAAAATCCTCTTGGGAAGTGAGGCATTTATTTAAAGTGTCTTATTTAGGAAAAACACTAGCAGAATTGAGTCAAAAGAAATGATCTGTCTGCTCTGTCTGGTCCCATGCCTGCCCTTCATCCTAGTGTGAGAAGGACGGGACCTGATGGTCAGTTTAGACAGTAAACCTCCTCCAGGGAGGAGTAAACAGCTCCACCAAGACCTTTGGTAGAGGTGGGAGCTCCCAGGTGAACAGAGAGCCACTGGGCTGCTCTGTCCCTTGTTCCTGGGGAGTAAGGAAGCTGTGCCTGCCTGAGAGCTGAAAGGCTAATACAAAATTGAGCAGACCACAGACCACAAATAAAATCAACGTGATTGTGGTTATTGGATTTGCCCAGGAAGAGAAGAGGATTCAGAGAAGGGGCCTAGTGGAATTTCTCTGTGATTTCTCAGACTTTCGAGAAGTCCTTTCCCTTCTGGAGGGGGAGGGAGAGAAAGGCTCCCGCTACCTGCACCTTGCCCATCATAGGTTGGGGCCACTTACAAGGCTCCCGTCCCAGAGGAGCCCAGCTTTGCAGCATCCTTGTTCTGAGCAATTTTCTAGAACTCGAGTCCTCTCTAATTCCCTCCTCTCTGTCTCACGCGTCTCCACAAGAGCACACCCAGCCCCCAACCTTAGCAAGCCCACTTCGCTCAGATTCCACTGGCAAACTGCAGCCTTGCAAGGCCCTCGCAACAACTTCCTCAAGCGGTGAACCATGCGGTGGAAGAAAGAGGAAGGGTCTAGAGCTGCCCAGGTGGAGGCGGGGTCGGGGTGGGCGGGTGATGAAGGGCACATTTTCTTTCCTTGCTGGCCGGTTGCGGTGTCAAATGTAGTAAGCCCCCCTCCAGGGAGGGGAAAAACGCGCGTGCAGTGGGCAGCAGGAAGAGATGGGAGGGGTAGGGACAGAGGTGTGTAGAGCCCTGGGGGCGTGGGGGCGGGCCTTGGAGGAAGGAGGGGGGAGGGGCGGAGGGGGAGGGGCGGAAGGAGGAGTGGCGCGGGAAGCGGGAGGGCGAGGGTGGGTGGTGAGGGGGCCCGTCGTGGGGGAGGGGAGGCGGAGGAGGCGTGGCCCCTTCTCGGCCCGCCCGGCCCCTCCTCCGAGCCGCGGCCCGGCCGCCCGCCCGCGGCGCTCTGCAAATATGAAGAGACGCTGCGGCGACGGCGGCGGCGGCGGCCACTGCAGCTTCGGGCGGCGGCGACGGCGGCGGCGGCGGCCGGGGCGGGACGCGGGCCGGGCGCGGAGAAGCCGGGACGCGGACGGGGCCCGCGCCGACCGGAGCCCGACGGCGCCGAGGGAGCGCGCGCCCGGCAGTCCCGCGCCGCGCCCGTCGGGCATGGGGCGCACTGCGGCCGCTTGAGGCCGGGCCTCGCCGGCGCCCGCCCGGCCCGCGCGGAGGAGACGAGGACAGAGCGCGCCGTGCCGCGGCGCTCTGCGGGACCGGGTCGGACGGCGGCGAGCGGGAGGCCCCGAGGAACCCTGGAGATGTCCGGTGTGCGCCGTCTCCTGCTCGGATACCTGTTCCCGGCCCTCCTGCTGCTCGGTGAGTGAGTAGCTGCGGCTGCTCCGCGCTCGGCGGGCCCGGGGACAGCCCTGCGCCCGCCTGCCCGCCCCCGGGGCTTGGCGCTAGTAATCGCTTTCCCCAGCGGCGCCCACGGTGTCGCTGCGGGCGTGTTCTTTCTGGAAGGGTGCGCGAACTTCGCCCACATAGATGCTTTATATCTCCAGAACTCATTGCATCACTGAGCCCAGGGAAAACTTTGATCCACTCTGTTAGCCTTTCACTCTGCAGAAGGTTATGAAATTGCAGGCTCTGCGATCCTGTTTCCAAAGTGTCCGAGCGCAGCAGGGCTCTCCATGCTGTCCCAGACTTTACGAGGCTGTAAAGAAACTGATCGTTTATGGAGAGGACTCGTCCCGCGGGAGTTGTCTGCTGTCGGAGGGCCGGGACCGGTGTTCGTGGGCTGCTGGCTCCGGCTCCCTGTTGAAGGGTGGCATCGAGTCCCTCCGAGTGGGCTTCTGCGTTCTCAGCGTGCAGCGCGAGGGCACTTCTGGTAGCCAAAATGTAGTCAAGAAAATCAGTCTCAGAAGGCTCTGGGAGCTCAGCGCCTCCCATTCTTTCTGTGCTTCATGAGCCGTATTTTCTCAGGCCTCTAGAAAACTCTTAGCCAGACATCATCAGCACTCAGAGAGTTCCAGAAACTGCGCCGAGCAAAATAAAACAAAATTGCATTGGAGTGGACAAGGCATGTTTTGTGGCAGGTGGCTGTGGTGTGATTCAGATGTCCTGAGCAGAGTGACCTCATCATGGCTCTCTTTCCTCAACACCCACCACCGACCACCACACCAAAACTGCAATTGACTCTAGCTTCAAATGCATGGGATCCAGGACTAAAAATCAGGCTATGGACCCCACAGAGGATCTAGGAAAGAGAAAGAGAGGTTAACCGGCAAGCTGCTGCAATGCAGTTTTCTTTGTAGTTCTGCCCAGGGTGGGCGGCTTGCATAGCTTCACAGCCTTTGTGAACTAACATGTCTGGTTGGGCCAGACCTGTCCCATTGATTGCCAAGGTGTACTGTGAGCCCCAGAGATCCCAGCATTTTAGAAGTCAGGATGGAACGCTTGCCGTTCCAGGGCAAAAGAGAAGGTATAATTATAGGGTTGGACTTCTAGGCCCATCTGCTTAGAATTACAGAACAGTTTTAATCTTTGGCTGAAACATGAAACAAATCAGAGCCAATGAACAGATCAAACAGCAGCTGCCACACACAGAAGAAAAAAAGAGGGGATGAAACAGGCAGAACTGTCCCTTTTATTAAAAAAAACTTTTAAAGTATTGTAATGTCTGGGAGAAAAAGAGGTCTGTCAAATGACTTGCAAAAATTACTTGAAAATTTGGCATAAGCAGAATTATTTTGCATAAAATCATTGCTAATTAAATTGCACATACCATCCTCGGAGTGCAAGCTGGTTCATTCAGTATTTTCTCCGTCTTGAGAGGTAGGAGCTGTAATGATAGGCCTGCCTCTCTACTGGTCTAGTTGGATAGTAATAGCTGGCAGGCATCAAGAGCCCAAAGTATATTCTTTGTCTCATGTAGCCTGGATTCTTCCCAGCTTGGAGTCCAGATCTGGTAACGCCAGGGGATCTTGGGAAAGTTTCTCCAGTGGGATTGCAAGGCGGATGGTGAGCAGGAATATCTGGGAGAGGCCCTCTGAGCTGTGAATGGAGCAACCTGGAGCCAGATGTGTACATGTGTGTGTATGAAGGGAATTTAAGATAAAAAGGGAGGCTTGCAAAGCTTAATTTGTGTGTTTATCTGTATGATATAGATAAACTTACACAAAATAATATAATTTCAAATTGAATCTGCAGTGGCAAAATTATTAAAATGAAAGTTGCCATAAAATCTACTTACGTCCAGCAGGGACTTTTGGAGTTCAGTGCACGAAATAAACAGAGGGAATAGTTGTTTGACTTATAAATGCTGAGGATCTAAGAAGGGTTTGTCATAAGCAGCAGGATAATAGAAATTTACCAGAAAAGTACTAAAGTACTGGGTATTCTTTCCTACTCCGCAATTTTTACTGGATTAAGTAGTTTTAACAGAAAATGGATGTTAATCAGTCTAACCCAAGAAAAGGGTTTGGTGAAGTGGGTCCCTCTGGCAGAAAGGGGTTTTTCAGAAAATTCTGCTACAGAATTTCCCTATATCTGAACAGATGAGTTTGGCCAGTAATTTCAGTAGAATCTGTAAGTCTTGAGGAAATTACCTGAAATCTGCTTAGAATGCCTTCATGATTTTTTTCCTGATAAATAAGCATTTGATTTGCAAACCATGTATGTGATACCATTTGTCTATTTATAGTAGTAACTTTGTAGATAAAAGGAAGTATTCTATGGTTCCAAATGTACTTGTGACAAAATTTAATAAATTTAGTTTCAGACATCACATTTATAGATCATTTGTTGCACCAGCAAGCCAGGTTAGTAAGATTGAAAGATACAGAAGGCCTTCATCCTGAGTGAGGATGCAAACAATGCCATCATCTGTGGCCTCCAGTCTTTGTTCAGTTTTTTTGGCCACTTCTATATAAATTTATTGAAAGTCAAGTCACCTCTAAATCCTGTTGGTGAGTTAATTTGACTCTGGCAAGCCTTGGGCCTGTTGTTTATTTTTGCTCTTTTTTAAAACTATAATCCAAGTTGAAAATGTGATAGCACAAAAGTATACATGTCACTTTCCCTTCCTCCCCTTCAGATTCTGAAAACAATTGCATTTCTTAATCCAAATAAAACCTATTGAGTGTGATGAAGGGATGCAGCTGGAAGATTTCCATTATCACTGTTTTCTTTGCTTAGATGAAAAGCCACAGACGTTCAGATGTCAAATTCTAAAAATCATTCAGCTCCACAAACACAGATTAGCAGGCGGTGTCCAGAGCAAGTGGTGTTAATGCACAGCAAAGGGCGAGTTCTGCTTGCTAACAGAAACATTTGGCTTTAAGTTAGGAGGTGGTCTTTTCTCACATGCTCTTTACTTCTTTAGAATTCATTGACGATTCTGAGAGGCGGAGCCTTTTTCTCATTTTCTCTTTCATTTGAACTTATTCTGTCAGAATTTTTAAAAACTGTAGATCACCAAGTGAGTGCTTAACTGGCAACATGCAAGGGAACATGGGCAAAGTAGACATCTTTGAAATGCCACTTCACTGAAGATAGTTTTTATAACCCAGAAAACATTTTTTCCATGTATTTTTCCCCTTTTTGTTATAAAAGAAAACAAAATCTTGGAAAGGAATGCTACTCATTTGCACACCTCAGGGGCAAGGGCCTTTGACAGATGTTAAATGTTCTCTTGTTTAAGAAATCATCTTACTTCAAACATAACTGAGGAGTTATGTGATGGTCATATACATTCTTTTCCCCTAAATGAGAAAAGAACTAAATATAGGTGGGTGATATGACTGTTTAATTACACAATGTTTAGGGACAGATGACAACTGATAGACTCAATCAAAGTGCAGCATAATGCATTTCAGACTAGGAGTAGAAAATGAAATGCTAATGACTGTATGTGTCAGTTCAAGGCTTCCCTGGCAGGGGATGTCTTGAGTAGACTCTGCTCCTGGAGCTGAAAGCATTACAGAGAAAACTTCAGGAAGAAAATCTGCCACCAAGAGCCTGTTTGTGAAGGCTGTGTGTGGACAGGTCACTGCTTAGTTCTCTCCAGTTTGGGAATGAATTATTCAGGAAAGTGCAGTGATAGGTATCTAGGTTGAAGAAAGGATATGGTATCACCCAGAATCATTAAGCATGTTCTGTTCTGTAGGGGTTTTCCAGTTTCATTGGTTCAGCAAGCCACTCATTCAGCAAGGTTACCTATGAGGGCCTGCTCATGCTGAAGGTCACTGCTTGCTGGGGGCAGGACTGAGGAAGGGCTTTCCCCCTTTCCTGAGGAATATCCAGGAAAGGAAGAAATGGGTTTGGAGCACCCCACAGTTGGGAGTATGGCCTGCTGGGGTTCCCTGCACTATGCTGCCTGCGGGGAATCCCACATGTGCGACACACACACATCATACCACCACCACACAAACCTAGAACATGCATACCACATAGAGATGTACCATATGACACACACCACATGCATATAGATCATAAGCCAGATATACATATGTACTACACACTTGGAAAATACAGATGCACCACACGTGTATGCACTGCACACACACATACAGCATGCATGCATGGTTCATTCAAACATACATCCTATGCACATACCACACCCACAGCACACATATACCATGCAAAGCAGATACACACACACTACATACGGCACAAACATAGCACATACACAGCACCCACAACATACTGTGTTTACCACATGCATACTTTCCACAGACACACAAACACACACACTCAGGATCATGCAGACCCAACATGCTGAACTCTGCCATATCAGGTTCAGCCCCAGCATCTCCCTTGAGGACCATGGCATTGCGAAGTGACATAGGATTGGAACGATGACTAACGTGGACTAAAGTCAGGAATTTGAAATTTTGACGTTATTTCTCCTAAAGGAAAGTTAGCTTTTGTATGAAGGTATGCAGATGGTAAAAGCAGTTCTCTTAGCTTTTGTTTATTACAGAACAAAAATTGGAAATATCAACAGGAGCTTAGCACATACAGGGACCTGAGTGGTGGTCAATTCTCTTATGTTCTACAGAACATACAAGCTCCTGTGTCAGAATGTGAAAGCCATGCTGGAGTCAAAGCACACGTTTACAATAATGACTGCCTATTTAATTGGGCAGGGCAATTTCATGGCTAAGTAATTACCTGCATTTAATCTAATGTGTGGCATTTTACACATGACACAAGTTCTAACTTGAGAATACTCTTCTGACTCTGATTGTCACGGTATATATAGCATGTTATGGACAGTAGGGAAACTTGCAAAACAAGTAAGAAAAAGACAGCCATTATTAATTTTTGACATATTTATTTAATCTTTTTAGTTAAGTTTTCAAATACTAGAGTAC